AGGGAGAGCTCGGGGAGCGGGGCCTAGGCAGGGCTGGGCTGTGCTGCTCCAGTGAACCTGCCCCTTATCCCACAGCGTTGCTTTTGCGGCCCCTGGAGAAGGAGCCCATGGTGGCCCAGATGCTGCGCCTAATGCAACTCCTGACACGTATCGAGGAAGGCGAGAACCTCGGTGGGTCCCCCCCTCAGCAAGGCCCTGGGGAAACCTCAGTGTTGGCTCGAAGCCCACTCCCCCGGCCAGTGTGCCCTGATCTGTGCCTGTGTCCCTGCAGTTCCCAGGAGCTGTTTCTGCACCGAGCAGAGGTCTGGGCTGAAGCTGCTAAGCTGTAGGAGCTTTTCCCCGAGAGCAAGGGGCTAGAGAGTGTGGCTGTTCATGCGTGCATTGCACTGCCATCACAACTGACAGGCTGTTGCCCTTATCCAAAAGCAGTGAGCTTGAAACCAAGCTCCAGGCCGGTCCTGCTATCTGAACACACCTCATAGCTTCTGAAATGCTGCCCCTGGATCAGTTATTTGTAGTCAAGAGGTTCTTGTGTAGCTTTCCCTGCCTGTGAGGATGTTTTGCACAGGATGGATGCTTGGCAGTTAGCCTGCCATTCATTCTCCATCCTCAGTAGCTCTAGAATTTGCAGACACACGTGAGGAAATCAAGTAACTAGCTTTTTGTAAGGCCTTGCAAACCAACAGCTGTGAATTGTTGTAGATTGCACCTTCGACACAGAGTCAGAACTCACCCCTCTTGAATCGGCAATTGGTGTCCTGGAGCTCATTCAGAGAGAATTTTCTGTGGCTGAGAAGACAATGGAAACTGTTCAGAAAATGGTCAAGGAAGCTGTAAGACCTTTCTCTTTTTTCAATAAATGCTCAATAAATGTTCTGTCTTAGAATGATCTTGCATAAATGACAGTGGGAATTGCCTCCTGTGTAGAATACCGTTGTTAGTACTGATTTGGCTGCAAAAACTTATCTTCAGTGTATATGCTTCTTCACCATGTAGAATGTGGAAGTTGTTTCTCTGTGTAAGTTGGTACCAAGCTGTTACTTTTGTGCTGTGTTTGATTATGATACATGCTTTTCCAAAGCTGATCTCTAGAGAGTATGATCCGTTCAGTGTCAGCAGAGAAACTGGTATTTGTTTCCTTCTGTAGGCTGTTATTGTCTGCATCAAAAACAGAGAGTTTGATAAAGCTTCAAAAATTGTCAAGAGGCATATGGGGAAGGAGCACAGAAACCAGGTGAGTGCATCAGAATGAACGATGGCTGTCTGGTATGTCTTCTGTGGGGTACTGGGGAGCAGAGATATTTAGGGATGGTGTGATAAGTCTTATGGAGTATTGGCGTGGGGTTTGGAAACTTGTGACTGTATTGCAGGTGTAAAAGATTTCCCTGAGAAGCTTGTCTTTTGGGGAAACCTGAACAAGAAGAAAGGGTAAGGGTGCCAAAATGGAAAGAGTCCTCCTTTGAATGATGGACCCTCAGTGTACATGTTTCTAAAACACATTGATCATCGCTTGAGCTCCCTCTGTTAATCAGGTTCCCTCACGTATCTTTATGGGTCTTCAAGGCACCCACATTCATCCTCTGCCTAGACGCAAACTCAAGCTCACATGTAGAGTGCGAGTTCCTAAGAAGGGCTGGTTCTGAAAGCAGAAAGAATCCCCGTTCCTATTTCTGTGGGCAGCATAGTGGCTTGGGCACTGGAAACAAAAGTCAGAATTGCTGAATGAAGGTGGCTCTGCCGTTCCTCTGGCCTTTTGCCATCCTTGCATCAGTGTAAGTTAGTTGGGCCTGGAGAATGTCAAATGGGAAAGGCCCAATCCTTGCCCAGAGCCTAGCTCCTGGTGTTGTCATTTATACCCTTGTACCTATTCAGAGCATTCTTGCCTCTCTAGAAAAAGAGGAATGAGTTGCTGACTGTCATCCGGGAGAAGAATTCCTCTCATCCAATAGTCAAAAACTTCTCTTACAAGACCTTCCAGCAGAATGTGTTTGAGTTTGTGAAGACCTATGTGGATGATTCGGAGCCGCTGCTGCTAACGGTATGTGTCTGCCCTGCTTACCTGGCCTGGCTTCCCGTTCTGCGCTTCCTGTTCTGCGCATGCTTCTGCCCCAGGAACGGGGAAGCATGAAAAGGCCATGGGATGCAGATTTAGGGAGAACTGACACTTTGCTATGAGACAATGCAATACAGTAACTTGGCTTCTAGGTGCCTTCAGTGCCAGTAATGAGTTAGAGTGTAAGTGCCTAATTAATAGTGGGTTAAATTGAAGTACTTTAAATTCAGCCCATGGCTAAAAGTGTTATACCATTGAAGACATTTTTCAATTGGTGTAACAAGTTCTAATTGATAGGCGTGAACTCTGTACATGGTGCTGATTGAACTACAAGTAGCAGTTTAATGTGCCTTCAGGAGGGTATGAAATCGAGTGGTAGTATGGGGAATCATCTTTCTAATGGTTTTGTGTTTTTTCTCTGTCCAGGTAATGAAAAAGACTTTGAATTCAGAATGTACTAAAGAACCAAAATGCTCATCAGTGACTCCTGAGTCTGCAAGTGGGCCAGAGGACACGGCAGGAACTCCAGAACCTGCAGAAGCAGCAAAAGAACCAGAGGAAGCTCCCAACCTTGCAGAAAGGGCAGATGACTCCGCAGCAGCTCCTGAGCCTGAGGCAGGAGCTACAGACCCAGCAGCAACTCCTGAGCATGTAATAGCAGCAGCTAATACCTTGGAGGAAGATGCTTCAGAGCCTATGGAAATAGCTAAAGAACCAGCAGCAGCAACTCCAGAACTTCCGGGAGTGTCCTTGAGGGACTCAGAAAGGTGGGCAGAGGAATCTGGCCCTGCACTGTGGATGAATTCTTTTCCAAGGGGTTAGTTTGCTCTGTCCGGGCAGCTCTTAACTTCCCCAAATGCCAGCTGAAGCAGGTCTGCCCAAGCAAGCCCCAAAGGCTGTCGGTGTAGGAATTCTGTCTGGATCACAAAAAAATATCTGTAGTACTTTTGGAAACTAGGGAGGGAGGGCAGTGGCTGATGGGGTTTGCTCTTGGGGAGCAGCGTTTGGTATCCGTATGGTTCAGCCTTTAGTCGAGAATAGCAGAGCATCCAGTGGCACATGGGCATGTTCTCTTATGGCCTGCTTCCTCGGCACACCACACCATTTAGAGAGACAGTGGACCGAAGGGTTGGGAATACCCTCTTTGACAGATTTTATTTGCACCCTAGGGTCAATTGTTAAGGGTCACGCTGTAGGGGAAAACCTGATTTCAGGGCAGTGGAGGTGCCTTTGGTGAAATCTTTACAACCTGCTCAGTTCTGTTTATTTTGTAGGCAGCCCTCTGGAACTGTAACCACCTATGGGATTTCTGTTCTGAGAGAAGCTTTCAAGATCTTGTCGGACTCCCAGGATTCTGATGCAATCTTCACCAAACTGGACGAAACAGACTTTTCTTTCCCCAAGCAACTGTCTCCTTCTGTATCCCACAGAACCAAGAGACGGAAAGAAGAGAAGAAACAAGATTCTGAGATCTCAGACCCTCCTGCAATACCCCATAAGAGCAAACGCTTGTTGACCATAAGCAAGCTGGTCATGGAGCCAGACAACCAGCACAGCGAGTCGAGTGAGAGCCCAGACTCTTCCCAGGAGCCAGTTGTATCTTCTGCTTCCAGACCTGTTCAGAAATTGCATGACCAGCCTGTATCTACTAAGAGTACCAAGTATGAAGCCCATGTCTTGTGGTATATTCTAATCTGCACCCAATCTTTTGACTTGCAGCTGACATCTGTAATGTGAACAACAAAAAGTTTTGTTTACAATTCAAGATGAGTATATTGACCATCCTTGTCTGCAATCGTATGTGGAGCTGGGCAAAATAAATGTTCTGTTCTCCTTATACTTTACCGTTTGGTTAACAGAGAGGAGACAGTGACCTAGGCAGAGGTACTGCAGTCTGTGTTGGTAGGTGATTCCAGCATGCGTGTCACAGCTAACGCGTGTTTCTCTGCGCTTTGGTTAGTGATGCTGGAGCTGGGAAGAGTTTGTAGGTGCATCTTGTGGAGCAGATTAAACTCTCCTTTCCATCTCCTGAGAAATACAACATTGACTTCACTTAAGCTCTCTTTCCATGAAACCTGTGTTGGTGAAGGAAGTGCTGGTTGTAGCTTTCTGACTGTTCCTTCAGTGCGAGTTGTCACTTAATCTTGCGGCTCAAGTGACTGCAGTAAGAGGTGGGATTTCCCACAGAAAACGGCAAAGTAGGCTTACCAGCCTACTTAAATTTAATTAATGAACTTTAGATTTCCAAGATATGAAGCTAAGAGTCTCATGAGTATCTCCTGTAGGGTGTACCAAAGCTTCCTGCTTAAATATCGGAGCTGCTGTTTTGCTTAGTGAAGTTGCATAGTAGCCAGCAATAATGTTGTTTTGGATCTCCAGGAGTGAAACTGTAAGGATTGAGGAGAGCTCGCTGGGTTTGACAAGAAATGGAACACAGTTTCCCTTAGTTCCTGACTTAAAAATGTCAAGAACACAGAGGTTTGGTTTTGATGGGTGGGCAATAAAGATCACTGTGTAGCTTGGCTGCTCTGGAGTTGGATTGTCTTTCTCTGAAGCTGTGAGTAGGGATGTGCTGCGTTTGTAGCTGGTATGGATGCACAGTGGTGGTCTCTCAGATGCTTCAGGGTTAAACTAAATGCCCTACTCTTTCAAGGGCTTTCGAGTGGTGACACTTGACCTCTTTTGGTTTTTTCCAGTAGTATGTTGCAGCGTTGCTGTCCCTAGGATAGGTCTTGAGTTTAATTTGAGGGTGCTGGGGAACATTATGGGGATAGAATGATGTTTTGTGAACACTTCAGAGCAGAGTGCTGCGGCTGACTGCCCCGTGAAGGGGCTGGTGCCTCGGGTCTGATGCCTGCCCATCCTCCACCAGCTGACTAAAGTCTGGCGTGGGGCTGGTGTTGCGTGGCTGCTGCTGGCTCAAGCGTTCTTGAGCTTCAGCCCTGCCACTGTGCAAGCTGGTTTCCAGTTCACCTGGAAAGGGATTTACTGTCTGTGCTGCTTGTGTGGATGGCTCATCTCTAAGCATTTAGTGTCAGGACTCGTGGTAGCATTGGTGCTAGTGAGCTCTGTGTGGAAATCTGGTCCTGCATCATAAACAGCTTCAACTACATTGGATGTGACACCCGGGGGTGAACCTTTTTGAAGTTGTGGGTTTTTTTTTTAACACTCGATTTCATCTCTCACGTTTGTGCTTGAGGATTGGAAGCCGGTGACAGCACTGAGTCACCTGATCTCGTGGAGAGAACTTTGTAACTCGGTTAACCTCAGTATTGTTAGCAGTGAAACAGTAAGAATTAAATGCTTCTTGGGAAGATGAAAGGCTTCTCTCCCGAGCTGTTGGCAGGTCTGTGCCGCACACAAAGGCCTAGGCAGTCCAGCTGCGTGTGTCTGCTCTAAATGCTTAATTGTGTAGTTAATACTCAGTCCCTTGTTTTTGCAAATGCTGGTGACAAAATACAATGTTCCTTGTGTATTTGAGCATATATTGCATGCCATACCTTCAGACAGGGGCTCCTATGGATTCCCTGCTCCGAGGGGAATGGAGGAGGTGGTGTGTTCATGTATTGCTTGCTGGGTGCGTTCCTCTGCACTGGGCACTTACAGCAGGCTTGCCTGCTGTGCCCCACGTGTCCCTGCACCTTCTCCCCTTAGGGCATTCTCCCTAGCCTGCAGATGCAGTAAATGCTTGCCTGCTTTCAGGTCCTTCCAAGGAAGGTGGAACAGCTCGTTTGGTGAAGAAGCAAAAGACAGTTGGAGTGAAGAGGATGAGATCTTCTCAGATGCAGGTAGGAACAGAGCCCCTGCTGCAGGTGTTAATTGATGATAATCCTGGCTTTGGGGCTTGTTTATGGGTGTCGCTACCTTCTGCGTGACTAGATTTTGCCCTCAGAAATTCTAAAACCCCAAGAAAATAGGTAGCTGTCCAACAGCGAGATACTTGTTCTTTGTATCTCTGACCTGAAATGCACACCTAAAGCTCCTGTTGAGTGTCAGACTAATCACACTTAGCTTACAGGATGTAAATATTGGTAATACAGCTCTTTCTCCATTCCTTCTTTAGTGCTGTGAAATAAAGGTTAAGTTTACTTCAGCCAGATCAGTTTTCCAGCCCAGTTCCCTCTGTAGCTAGATACGCAGCTTAGCTGGTGAAAAGGAGTGGACAATGAGTGTCTGATTCCAGCCTCAGCAAACAGCATAGCCACATCCTGGGTGGATGTCCCTGTTCTGGTTTAAAACAAAGCAGATCTTATTGGAAAGCTTTCACATACAGAATTTGGGCTTGAAATGGAAAGGCTGTGAATGCTATAGCTGCAAAAAAGGGAGAGATAAAGGAATTTGGGTTTGCTGTCTGTTCTCATTGTAGGCTGACTGCACAGTTCAGCAGTTAAGCTCAAGGCAGTCTGTCGAGGAAATCTGTACCTCGTCAGTTGTGGTGAAGTGTAATCCTCTTCCCTTGTTTTTTCAGCATCATATGGGACAAACAGCCACAACTCTACAGTCTTCGGTTCCAAGAAGCAGGTATTGTACCCTTAAATCCTTTGAGTAAGGCCTGGAATCAGGACATGTCCGTATAGCAGAGCAAACTGTTGGACAATTTGAAATACATTGGTGAGGATACTCTGTTGTCGGACCCATTCCTCGGCAGCCTGCAGTTCACTACAGCAGAGCGAGCTGCTGCTGCCCTTTAGGTGAAGCACCAGCAGCTGGGCTGGAAAGGGATGCTTACCTGAGGCCGGTGCTTGCAGTATCCAGGCTTGATCCGTGTTGTCCGGGTCTTTGCACTGATGGAGTGGCTGGAGTTTCTCTGTTAAAACAGCCTAGTTTGATAGTTGGCTAAAGCTGTGCACCTCCCACACGCCAGGCACTGGGGGTGTGCATGAAATCCCTTTTCCTGGGTGCATGTGGTTTGGAGCTAGGCATGACGAGTTCCCCTCGCACTGGAGAGGTTCGGCATCTTGTTCGGGTGAGGGATGCATGTACGGCAGCTGTTACGTGGGAAGAGTTTGGTGTTACTAGGAACTCTTTCACCCTTGAAGAAAGGTTGCTGCTGGCTCATGTGCTGTTGTGTACTGTATAGCTCTTTGTTCCCTATAACGGCTTTCTTCAATTACTTCACTTTTTGCCTCCAGTACATAAACTCGGGGGACCTGCAGACCTCAATTTGCAGATTATGTTTTTTCATGCTGTAGCTGTATGCTGTTCCACAGGGCACAGGCCGTGGGTACTTTCTATCTGATACCTTTTGATGCAACAGCAAGCAACTCCTCTTCTACGCGATCGTGCTTTGGAAAGCAGAACTACTCCTGAGCTCGTGCTGCAGCTCAGCACTTCTCTTACGTGTAACAGTCGTGAGAGCACGTCTACAGCAAAGTGATTATTGAGTGTTGCATGTACTACTGAGGGCACATCTCTGCCTTTCCTCCCTGTCACTAGCACAGATGATAAAGGAAAGCTGACATGGCAGGAGTGAGTTGCGTTTGACGGAGAAGCATGCTCTAACTCCCCCATGAAACCGCGCTCTCTACTCACAGAGCACTGCTTACCTGCTCTTTTGTAGAAATGGACGATACAAGAGAGCGAGTGGATCAAAGAGGGAGTGAAGAAGTTTGGAGAAGGGAGATGGAAGGCCATCTGCCAGAAATACCCCTTCCAGAACCGCACAGCCGTGATGGTCAAGGATCGCTGGCGGACCATGAAAAAGCTGGGAATCCTCTAAAGTTGGGAGCCACAGGACCTTAGTTAAAAAAACCTTATTATTCTTTTAAACGATGGACTGGAGCAGTTGTGGGGCGAGGCTGCTGTACGCATCCCTGTGTGTTGGGGACAGTTTGGTGACCCCCTCTGGCTCACAGTACCTGAGACTGCTGCAGCAGACGAAAACCACGTCTGAGAAGAACCGAGGAGCCTTGCATCTTGAGCTGCAGCTGCAAGGTTCGGGGCTTCTGCAGTTGGCAGAAGCTGCGCAGCCTGGTTGCACATGCTTGGAAACAGTGTGGATTGGGACTTGCTTTTCCAGCTGACAACTGCAGCCTTTGTTGAATGAATCCCAACCTGATGGACTGTTGAAATGACAGTTTTATCAGATGCTGTCCGATGGCAGGATAATCCCGTCAGTGGTTATTTTTATATGTTTTAATTATCTAAACAGTGAATTGCTGGTTTTCGCTGTTTGCACTCTGTCTCTTGTGGAAGACCGAGGCAGCACATAGTTTCAGATCTTCTGGGGAGAAGAGCTTTAGGCAAGGTGATCTGCTGTGATTCCCACACACACACACATTTCTGCTTTGTACATGGCTAGGCTGTGAGTGGGGATTTCTCCCTCCCCATTTTAAGGCTTTAAAAACATTATTTTTTTGTTTCAGTACTTAGATGTTAGTTGTTCCCATGTTAAAAGTTCAGTGCTCACCAATTTTTTTTTTTTTCATCGTGTCATACTAACAATTCTCCTTCCTGGTAACGTTCTCCTGTGTGCGGTCCCAAGCATAAAATCTCTGAGGGTGCCGCCTGTTTCCTGCCTTCAGGTGCCAAACCTGAAGCCCACGGCCAAGCGGTCTTCTGTAAAATAAAGTTCCTTTCTTGTTGGATAACGAGAGTTGTAGGAAGTGCAAACTTGCACCTCACGGGCGGAAATGCGGCAGCTTGGGGTGATGCCCTGCTGGGACATGTGCCACCCCAGGAACACGGGCGTCCCCCTTTGCCTCCTGGGGCTGGGGGTGTTGTGCTGGCAGCTGTTTGGAGTGCAACAGCGATGTCCTGAAGGCATGAGGTGCTGCTGCTGCATCAGCACGAGGCAGCCTCTCGTGGTTGTGTTCTTGCAGAGCCAGGGCTGGGGAAAAGCATGTTTGGCAACACCTGCTTCCCATCTGTCCTTCAGCAGCAGCTGCTGGAATGAGCTTCCCTTGTCACCTGGCTCTGGCTGCGCATTTCCCTCCCCACCTGCTTGTAAAAACCACTTCCCCGGGGTTGGAGCAGCCCTGGGTCCATGGCAGCACCCTGCACTTGCAGAGGCCCTGTCTGGGGCCAAGAGGCTTGGTGTGAGCTACAAACTGGACCAGTGATTGCCACTGTGAGGCAGTGCCTGGTTGTTCCCAGCTGGAAGGAGACATGTTTGTGCTGCACGGGGCTGAGCCTGTTCTTCCCTTCTCTCTGTCAGGCTCTTGCCCTCGGCTGTGCAGGGAGGGTGTTGCAGCCCAAGGCAAACCACTGGTGTGCCAGGGGCAGCTGTGGGGGAACGATGTGGGCCCTGTTCCATCAGCCAGGGTAGGGCTGTGGAAGTTGGAGTAAAACACTTTTCCTGCTTGATTTGCTTGTTCAGAAGACACAGATGGGCAGAGCATCATTCCTGAGAGGAGCGGGACTGGCTGTGTGTAGCGGGGAGGTGCTGCTGGTCACCTCAGCCTCTGCAGAAGAGGTCAGCCAGGTGAGCTGTAACGTGGATGAACCAGACCAGCTTCTGCTCTGCACCAAAATCCCCTTCGGGAGCGGAGCCTGTGCTGCACTCCTCCCAACACCAGCCTCGGCGCTGCTGAGCACCGCTATGGAGCTGTTAATGATTACCCCTGCCACCTTGGGTCCCGGGTCCCTGCTCCTGTCCAGCCAGGCAGGAGGGAGTGCAGGATCCTGGGAAGCAGGATGCTGCTGCTGGCACTCTTGGCACTGCTGCTGGTCCCTGCCAGCTGCCCCAAGACTGAGCCACTGAGCGGGTCCAGCCAGGACCCCCTTTTCCGCGGGGCGGATCGCTACGACTTCGCCATCATCGTCCCTGCCGGTGCCGTGGAGTGCTTCTGGCAGTTTGCGCACCAGAGCGGCAGCTTCTTCTTCAGCTACGAGGTGAGTGTAGCGGGACGCGTTGCGGGATGTGTCCCGGGTCACTGTCTGCATGGTGCAGCTGCTGATGGGGTTGGGGAATGGCTGCGCCGGATCAGTCCTGTGCAGTGGTGCTGTGCCGGTGCCAGCTGCCTCCGAGAGCGCAGCAGGTCCTGCAGCGGGTGGTCTGATATTGCCTTGGTCCTGCAACCAGGCCTGTGGGTGGAAGGAGGCCCCATGGGATGTGCTGGCTGAACTCCAGACCCACAGCCGTAGGGTGGAGGAAGGCTCACTGTTGAGAGGGGGAATGGCTGCAGTCACTTGGATGCTTCATCTCAGTGCTTTTTAAGGCAATTTCCATCATCAATCCTGTTTACTTTTTAAAATACCTGTTCTGAAACCATAAAGTGGTCCTGAAAGCTCTGGACACGGTGCCCGAGCACCTGGAGCTTGCTTGCGGAGAGCTGTGTGGTGTCCTAGCGCTGGGGGGAGCGCTGCCCTTCGCACAGCCCTGGGCTCTCCTTCAAGCACAGCCGAAAGGCACACCGAAGGTCTCGGGCACAGCCCTATCTGCTTGTCCCCATGCTCTGTCCCCTTCCCACAGGGTAAACTGCAGCCCTTTCATCTCCTGTTTACACTAGGCTGGTTGAAGGAGAGCTGGGGCACGGCTGTGCCAGGCACGGGTGGCTTCCCCCCCGGCTCTGCTCAGCAGAGCATGGCACGGCCCTGGGCCCCAGCACAGCTCCATCTCCCAACACTCCAGTGGCTGGCAGCACCCAATCCAGGGGGCAGAGAATCCGGGTGGGCCTGTGGGGTGGGAGATGCAGGGTCTGTGAGCACCTGCGGGTGGTTGTTGTGAACTGTGGGGCTCATTGCCCAGGGCCATGGGATTTTTCTTTTACACATAGCCAGCAACTCGCTGGAGGCTGTTCCTGGCCTCAGCTCACAGTAATGAAGGGGCCCCAAACCAATCCCTGCACAGGAGAGCTCCCATAGGCTCCCATCTACTTCCTGGGTGCGGAGTCAGGCCCACAAATGCTGCTCAGGTGTTTCCTGCCTCCAGGTCCAGCGGGCAACGGGAATCGGCAACAACAGAAACATCCTGGTCACAGCGAACGACCCCAGTGGCTTCCAGCTTGGTGCTTCCCAGAATGTGCGAGGACAGATCAACTTCCTCACCAAGGAGACAGGTCCCCGTGTCCCCTGTCCCTGCCTGGCCCACGTGCAGGCAGGAGCAGTAGTTCCAAGCCTGCCCAGGAAGCAGCCAGCACTTCCCAGAGCACTGATGGGATGAGGATGAGGGTCAAGTGCTTCGCAGTGGCTCTTCTACTCGGGGTACAATAATCCCCATTTTGCTCTGCAGGTTTCTACCAGTTGTGCCTGGACAACCAGCAAAGCCACTTTGGCTTCATGCAGGTGTATCTCAACTTTGGTGTCTACTACGAAGGCTTCAACAATGAAAACAAGCAGCCGGAAGAGAGGAAAGAGCTGAACAACACCCTGGAGGCCATCGAGGTAAGCGTTAAGGCAACCATGAGGGTGCTCCCAGTGCCATGGGGATGGACACATCGTCCCAAGGGAACCAAGAAGGGTGTTTGCCATTGGCTGAGCTGGAGCTTAATTTAATGCTGAGCCCAGTGGGCAGCTCTGAGCAGCTCTGCCAGCCCCAGGCTCTGCCGTGGCCTCACCGCCAAGCACCTGCCTCTCCTCCAGGTCAGCATCCGGAAGCTGCAGCTCCAGATCTTCCACATGTGGCGGTTCTACAATTTTGCCCGGATGCGGAAAGGGTCTGACTCCTTCCTCCTGGAGTCCAACTACAACTACGTCAACTGGTGGTCGATGACTCAAAGCTGTGTCATTGTCCTCTCTGGGGTTCTGCAGCTCTACTTCCTAAAGCGCCTCTTCAATGTGCCGACCTCCAGCAGGCAGAAGTGCTAGCAACGCCCACAACTGCAGGTAGGACCCCTGCCTGCAGCCCTCGGTAAGCCAGCTGCCCCTCCACAGAGCGGGCGGGAAGGCCGGATCCTGCCTGGGGACGGAGACATCTCTCCAGCTCTAGCCCTGCCTCGGCTGAAATCACCCCAACAGAAGAAAAAGCGACACCATCGCCTGAGCTTTGTGTGCCGGGTCGGTTTGTTATGGCTCTGCCTGGTTTTTGTGTCCCTATGTGCCCTTTCTGCCAGACCCAATAAAGGAACCCCTGGCACATGCTCTGGGGAGTGATCACAGCCTCCTGTCCGAGCCCAGGTGAAGCAAGTCCTGCCTTGCAGGCAGCTGCCTGCCCCATCCCTCCCTCTCTGAACCTCAGCTCCGGCATGTGAACCTCCCCCCGGTTTCATCTGCCGAAACAAATGCAATGCTTCTCCCCTCTGGTGTTGTACCCCAGAAAAGCAGAGATCTGCAGCAGGGGTGAGGGTTGACTCTCCCAAGGCTCCACACTGGACAACAAGCACTTTAGGAAAAAAAACAGGCTTTATGTGACAGCCGGGGCAGGGCTGGCGTGGGCAGAGCTCTTCCTTGCGCTGGCAGCATCCCCCTGCAGCGTGGGGCTGTGTGCTGGCAGCTCCCAGCCCCTCTGCCCCACTCAGGGTAGGCTCACTGTGGCTCCGTGTGCTACTGCTGCACTGACAGTGCAGGACAAAGTCTGTTCTGCCCAGGAATGCTCGTGTCTTCGGAGCACTGGAGTTCCCTTAGGTCAGTGTGTCCTCGTTCCGCACGTACTCCCCAACGTCAGCCTGGTGGAACACCACGATGGCCATGGGATCCACCTTCCGGCACTCCTGGGTTGACTTGGCAGCTACTCCAAAGCCCTAGGGGGATGAAGGGGAGGTGAGAGATTTCCCCCACCTTGTACCCACACCCTGGCCCTGGAAAGGGCA